GTAGATGAAACTATGTGCAGTCACTTTAGCAGATACTATCCTCTGCCCAGGAGATAATATTGGTGGACTTGGGGAAATGGTGTTTAACAGAGGGCTCTTGCAGTTGAACAAGAATCTTTAGCTCCATTCTAAGCTATACCTAGTAAAAGATATACTGAAGATGTAGGATGAATTAGATAAGGGATGAGGAGGAACAAATATCTTCCCCTCTTGAATGAGAAAGAATAATGACAAAGATTCAATAGTTAATTGTCTCATTTCTGGATCATTTTATGTGAACAATGCATGAGGAATACAGTTGGAATCCTGCTTCAAACCTTTGACTTAGTCTCTATGAAAGTTCAATAGTGCTTATTAAACCCTGTAACATTTTTGTTAATACACTCAGTGATAAAACTTCAACACAACCTCATCTGTTCTCTTCTGCATCAGTGCTGTGACATAAGCAAGAGCATTTATTTAATTATGAAGTAGGGATGCAAAAATGATTTCTAGCTATATAAAGAGTTTTAAGGAAGGCGTAGAAGCACAGTATGGAGACACTATGTGTTTAGCTTGTTTTTCTTTCTTTTACAGAATAACTGGCATTGTCATTTAAATATTAGTTTCATACTTGTCTTTTAGCATTTTAAAGAGATAATATGAGAGCTAGTAGATAAAAACACTGTCATTTTGTATGTGTATGTGCAGTAATGTGATGTGAAGATAGTAAAATATGGGAAAACCTGGAGTTTCTCTTTGCCTGTAGGCATTCTAGATAAGCAATGGCACTACGGAAGTGGTAGTGAAATTACCTAGTAACACTGGATTTTTAAATTTTCATGATCACTTGGGAAATACAGCTATATGGGTAATGCCACAAATACTGTATACTGTTAGTGAGCTTTTCATGTGGCTATGGGAAGCTTGTTGTGGGGCTTTGATTTCTATGTAGTGAGAGTTCCTGTTTGTGTTTGTGGATTTTTGTAGGTTTGTAGCTAGTGGTTATCTGATTAAGAGGAATTGTGACCCAGAAAAAACTCCTCTTCATCTATCAGAAGAGTGACACAGCACTTAGATTTGCCCTCTCTTTTATAAGAGAGAAAATGTTATATTTTAAAAAGTTCCTTATATAAAGGTAAATTAAGCCCTCCTTAAGGCCATCCATATCCAAAATTACTTCTCTGGATAGCTGTGGAAATTCCATTTTGGTTTCATACAAAGTGTCAGAACTGTCCAAGGAGAAGTTAGCAGCGCTCTGAATAAAGTCTTTGTTCTACAGATTTCAGCCATATATCTAATTCCAGAGTTTCTCCAGAGTTTAAAATTAGAATATTTGCAAGACACATACAGTTGTTCAAGATCGATGGGCATTCAGCAGCTGAAAAGTGGTCTGTCGTTTTCCCTGAACATCATCAAACCCAGCTGAAAGCAGAGGATAATGTCTGTGCTGTGTTGAAGTTTTGTGCTTGTTGGCTTTTAGCGTTATCCATTTCTGATGTGCAATTTAATTTATCCTTCACCAGTAGTCCCAGTGAAGTAAAACGGGCATGGAACTGCACAAAATTCCACATATGAAATTCTGCACCAACCTGTACTTCAGTTTTCAAATCACCAAAGTGTTATAGGAGCCTGGATTACCTCAGGTTTCTGGGGGGGTTTCTCTCAATATATATACACACAAACATATACACTTATGCTTTGGCCTCCTTCAATCTTCAAAATGATGCTTGTTGAGTTGTTTTAGGGTTTTCACTCTGGAAATCTGACTGTGCGAGGAACTAGTACTTCAGCTTGAAGAAGCAAAAATATCATTTCAAAACTGTCTGTAAGATTGTGGTGCTGTGGTAAGAGGAAAAATGTCTTTAGAATGTGTTTTTCCCACCTTCCTCCATCTAAAACCTTTACTGCACGAAACAGCAATACTTGGAATTTCAATCTTTCTATGGAATATAAATTTGATGTTGCACTTCAGTCTTCCCTGAACTGATTTGCCTATATGGAAGTAATTTATTGTTTGTTAAGGATGAGAATTCATGTTATATGATGCCTGTGTAACTACTGATTTTTCTTGCTTAAGACAAGACAAGGAGAGCTCAGTACTGCAGAGTTTATTACAGGGATTTGTTTCCTTTTCCTTTCTGGTATTCAGAAGAAAGTTAAATTTATCTATTGTCTATTTGCAAGTTTGGTGCTTTATGGATGTGTGTATATGACATGTTCTCGCTGCTTCTTGAACAGATGCAGGGCATTGAAATGTTAATACATTTGCTCCATGTTTTACCCACCACAGTGTGAAATAATTTTGGGACCACCTAGCCATCTACTAGCAAAAAAAGGTGAAACCATAAGAATGTGGTCTCCTGTAACTTTTCAGAAAAAATATGTTATAGGAGGTGATCATGCAAGTTGTACAGGCAGCTTCAGAATTATCAGAGAATTTTAAGAAAAGTGGAATAACAGCAGATTTTTCTAAATGAAATGAGAAATCTGAATTGAAACTGAACCAGGATAATGAAACATCAATTGTGGGTATTGCTGTACATGTCACACATGAGTTTTTGGAAAAGGCCCCTTTGGTTTCTGTGTTCAGACAGCTACTATGTAAGATGGCCTTCATGATCTCATTACATTTACATGTATTATAGTAGAAGTAATTTTAAATTTATCAAACATGAACAATACTTAAAATCAGTCTCTGTATCCTTTTAAAAATCTGTTTGCATAAAAATTTCTAATTGTTAGCTAGCTTGTCAAAAACAACAAAAAAAGAAACACCCCAAAAATGTCAAAAAACCTCCAAACCAAGCAAACCCAAAACACAACCCTCCATCCCAAGACTATTTCAGAAGTGATAGTTGATTCTTAATTTTTAATTATTTAAATATTTAATTATGTCATCGATTGTACCACAAATTTTAAGAATCACCAAGAATCACCACTGATTACTAATTGAAACCTTGTAGGTTAAATTTCAACTAAAAAGAAAAAGGTAATATTTATTAGGTAATTGTCGGGGAAGAGAGGATCTATCAGTGTATTGACAAGTGTTTTGTGTAGGTTGTTTTGTTTTTTTTTTTAAACTGTTTCCTGAATATTAAGTTTATTTGTGACATTTTAAAGTTCTCATAAGACTTGTAGTGCTGTGCTGGAGAGGAAAGATGGCTTGAGGAACATATACTTTGTTTTCCATTATTTGCTTTTGTGGCCCTCTGCAGTGATCTTGATAATAGTGAAAAAGATAATGTTTTATATGCATGGTACAGGCTTTTTAGTAGTTATGATCTACTAGAAGTTGTTCATTACTGTTCTGTCACATTGAAGTGAAACGTTTGCTAAATCTCCCCTTTTTTAGCTATATTATACTTTAAGTTATTTATTACTTGCATGGTGTACAAAGCACACTGTGAGTGGGGTTTGCCCTTTGCTAAGGAAAGGTAACCATCCACTGTTGCTTTCTTCTCTTCCTCAGTGGCACGTGGATCTGGAATAAACAATTTACCTATTTAGTTAGCATGTTCTACAACTAGCAAAAGTTCAATCAAGTGTTAATAAATAAGGGATTTTCTATCATCTTTAGGTGTATGGTCTCTGTTTACTGTATTCAACTTGTATATCCAGATTACTGTGGAACAGTTATGTGCATTATACATACAATTTATGCTCAGCACAATCTATCAAATATCCAGTGATTGTGTGTTCTGAATTCCTATAAAGTCCTCCTCCTACCACTGTTTCCTGTTGCAGAAATGGCCTTTTTTTCCTACAGGTTTGGCCTAATTACCTTTTTTGTTTTTTTAATTTCATATGACTGCAGTTTTAACGTCTGCATTCTTGTATTCAGGACTTACTATGTATCAGCTACTTTTTGTCCTATTCTGTGTTGTTTGGGTGCCTCTTTTTCCATATAGAATATCCAGATTGGTGACCTTTATAATACATGCTTTTTCCTCCGTTAGTACCATTTTAGCTTGAGAAGGCCTTTTCAGTGTCCTTGCTTCCTCTTGAAAACACTGTCATTACATGCAGCTGCTGCCACTTTCCTTTCCACTGATGAAGTTGGTCGCATTTGCTCATGGCTCTGTAATCAAACGCTCTCGACTAAAATCAGCTAAAATGTACTTGGAGATAGAGGCCTCTAAAATGCCCTCAGAAGAGAAGATGTATCATTTGCTGCTACCTGTCCTCTGGACTTCTCATGTAGCTCATCCTGCAGCCAGCAGTTGCTCCCCCTGCTTTTGCTTCCTGTGGCTGGTTCCTTTGTTCCTGCTGGAGTGGATGGCACCCACCCGTTCATCCTCGGTGAACCCTGGACCACGGGCTGGAGCAGAGTGAACATACGCACTGCTGCTCTGGTCTCCTCCCATTCTGCACTGCTACAAATTGCTATACTGGGTGATGGGCAATGCCATATGTGCACGGGCCACATGGTATTTTCTCCTCAATCTACAGTTGCCTTGTTCTTCATACACTGTAATACTTTGCTATATGTATGTAAGTTCAGTTTGTCTTTTGGGAGCCGTTTTTATTTGCTGGGGTTAGAGGCACGTACTTACTTGGGAAACCTAATTTTGCAATAAACAGTTACTGGTAGTAAAGGATATGAGATAATGCTCTGGATTAAACTGAAGATAGCTGTTAAAAGTGCTTAAATGATGTCTATCTTTACTGTTGAGGAATCAAGCAATGTAACTTGTCATTTTCATTAACATCAGTATGGGGAATGAAACCTGGAAAACACACGTCCCAAAGAGTTTTCTTGAGCATCTAATTTTGCTTTTGTTCAGGGAGACACATGTCAAATGCATGCTAATTAGGAGTTTTGCATCAACTTGACTGCTAACTTGAGGTCTGTGTCTGTAGCCACGTTCTGCATTCTTTGAATTCATCTTGATATAATATTTTTAAATATTTCAAACAGCAGATGTGCATTGCTTATAGATTTGTGTAAATGTTGGTGCAGTGTGTACAAAATACATCTCCCATACAATGATCTGTTGACATTATTCTCTGTTGCTTAGCTTCAGACACTAAAGTCATGACATGTGCTGCTGTTTGGAGGATGCCGAAGGAATTGGAATCAGGCAGTCATGAATCCCCTGATGATTCATCAAGCAACACTCAAACCCTGGAGCTACTCTGTCACCTTGACAACACAGCCCATGGCAATATGGCCTGGTAGGATTCTGCATATTTTATACTTCTAGCAAAAGCCTTAAAGGATAGACCCATGCTGTTAGTTTTGTGCAGATTTATATTGTAGAAACTATGCTATGTACTTTAAAAGTATTCCATCTTAAAAAAAATGTATAAATTGGATTTTTAGTCCCAGATGTTTCATAGATTAAAAACATTTATTAAAATCCTGCAAACACATATGGAGTAACAGCCTGTGTACTGTTTGAATGTGTTTTTCCCCACCTGCCCCCATCTAAAGCCTTTGTTGCACAAAGGTATAATACTTAGAATTTGAATCTTTTGGAATATAAATTTGATGTTGCACATAAGTTTTTCTTTTTTAGTCTTCACTCAACTGATTTAGTGTAAGCGTGAGTAATTTATTGTTTCATAAGGATAAGAATTCATTATCTTTATCTGTTGTATAAGTCAAGACAAGGAGAGCTGCAGTACAGCAGAGGTTATTACGGAGGATTATTTCCCTTTCTGTTATTTAAGAGGAAGTTGCAAATACACAGTGGACAAATGTAAGTTTGGTGCTTTATGGATGTGGGTATATGACATGTTCCCACTGCTTCCTGACCAGATGCAGGACATATAATAAGTTTTGAGCATCCATTTCTAGCCACAGATGTCTAGTTTGAGTCTTGCAGATTAAATTTTAACCAAAGAAAAAGGGTAAATTGAAGCTACTATTTATTAGGCAGGTCTTGAAAAGGTAGGACATATCACTGCATTCAAAAATGTATAGATGACTTTTTTCTAAGATACAGGTTTTCTGAGTGTTAAATTTCTTCACTGTACCATCCTTTAATTCTTTGCTACATATTTTGAGTACTCCTCCTTGTAATTATTTTTTTAATTCACTTTTTTATTGTGGACATTTTTTGATAACTAATATTCCAAGCTAAATTGGAGAGGTTTTGTTGTTTATTTTAATCTTTTAAGCTTTGTGCCTTTTGTCTTATAATTTTCCATAATCAGTTTCTATCTGATGGTGGAATGCCAGAACTTTGTATTGTAGCCAGATCACTAAAGGAGGAATAGGAGGCATATCACTGCTTTTTATCAGGATGTGAATTATACGAATGTCCAGAATTTTTTTTCTCTAATAACAGCCTATAACAAGCTCATGCACAGTTTTCAGTCATATGCTATGTGATTTTGTTCAATACTTAATGCTTACAAATATCTACTGCTATTTAATGCCCTTTACCTGTGTGCATGTGTGTATATATATGCATAGAGATTTGAAAATGTTCAGTGTTACAGAGAGATAAAAGGTGTAAACAGAATGCTTGGCATTAGTACTCCTCACATCATTTCAGGCAAGCACAGCTGTTAGAGGATCTTGTTTGAGAAAAGACTTTTCCTGTCTCACTCGTATTGGACACAACTCATAAATGAGTAAATTAGGCCTTTTGTGCTAAATGTGTCACATAAAGGCCACACCCCACTGAGTATTATGTTGGCTAAAAATAGCAAGGTAAATAGTCTTTGTATTACAGTACTTAAGTGCTTAGAAAAACATGAAGCCATTAGACACTGAGAGTTCAGTTGCTGTTAGAACCAAACAGAAATCAGAAAACCAATTTTCCTCAATGCAAAGTGTAAACACTTCTCAAACCACAATGTAAGACCAGTGTTTTGGAGTACACAACCACTATGAGATCAGTGGTGGTCTAGCACCATATACTTGCACTAAGAAGGATCTGTTATTTGCCTTGCCATTAGAACATACATACCCTTTATGTTTTGCCTGGAAAACCACAGGCTGAATGCTGGACCCAAGTTTAGTGTGGCCACATGCACTTTAAGGGGGTTGCTTAATCCAAAGCATGCAGTAGAGCTGTGTGACTGCAGCCATGAATGATTGAATACAGGCTTCATTTTTCAAGTTAATTTTGACTATTATTAGTCAGAATGCATGCTAAAAAATATTAAATAAAAAACTGGGATTCTCTCATATCTTTATATGCTGGGCCTGGAAGAGTGGGCAGTTGCCAGTACAGTTTTGAGGTGTAGTGTGTAATGTTGGTATCAACCTTTGTGATAGCAGCTTGTAGGAAGATATTTTTTGTGTCTTGGTATCCATTGCACAGATGCTTCATGATGGATATGGTTGCAGATGATATGTAATTGAGTTTTGATGGTAAATCAGGGAAAGAAGCAAAACTATCTTGAACATGCAGCCGGTTATGTATTCTAGCATCTACCACCCTCCTCAGGGCTTTATTTGCTTGTAGTTTTGCTCATGTTTACCCTGCTCTACTTCCTTCCTTATCATGCTTTTTTCAAGGTAAGCCTGGTAGCTGAAATTTGCCTCATAGATTTTTGTTTCTAGTATCATACACTAAGAAACACAAAGGGGGAATTTTTTTCCAGGTCTGGTGTGTCAGGCATTGGTTTTGTTCAACTCCGTACTGATGTTAAGATCTGATTCTGCGTTTTTTTACCTTTATATCATCTCCTTTGTGGAATTCTGTGCTACAATTTCTCTGAAATTTCTTACTAAAAACCAACAGAGATATGTTTAATACCATTTCTCTTTTGTGAACCAAGACCAAAAGCAGGTTTTCAATCGATTGTGACTAAAATCTTAAACTTTGCTGGTGTGTGACTGAACACAGTGCTCCGCCCGCTCAAGATTTATCGAAATAATTTTCTAGTCTTGACAAAACATTTGGTGAAAATCTAATATCCAAGGCAATACAGGCAAGTGAAAAAGAAATCTGCTTTTCTACAGTTCCATTTTATCTGGATTGCATGAGTTACTGTGTTTAAAAATGAAGCACAACCTTTCATTTTTAGTTCCTGAGATTGTTTACTGACTCCAAGCTTTATATTTGGGAATCATCAGCATTTTTACTCAAACTCTTGTATGGCATAAAGAGAAAATTAAACAGATGCTTAAATTAGGCCAACAAGTAGGCCTGTTAGTTGTTCTGTTTGATTCTGGCCTAAGATTTTTTTCATCCTCTGCCTGCTGTTCCTCATGTAAGCCAAAATGGATGGATTTCAAGTGCAGAAATACTGGGTGAATTACTTTCAGTGTGGAAAACCCCAGATGCACACAGAAATTCATATGTTTAAAAAGAAAAAAAAGTCTTTTCAATAAATTCCTTCTGTAGATAAGTATATGTATTCATACAGAGTTAAAACTGTATAACAGTAAGCATGTTGATCTATGCAATGTTGTAAGATTCAATTAAAAGAATTTGCCACTGGATATCTTGCAAGGAGCAGTATTGTCCAAAGTACTGTCTAGTACACAGGAGAGGCCAAGGAAACGGGACAACAATTAATGAGATTTTGATTATTCCTCTGGGTACATCTTGGAGGAATCCCCAGAACTCTTGTCTGTTAAACCCCTGAAGACTTGTATTTTAGTATTTAGAACAGTAACCTCCTGTTCTACTTCTCTCTGTTTTGCTGCAGACTTTTTTGGTAGTAGACTTGACAGGATAGTCCTTGGAGAAAGAAGATACTTCAGGCCATGAGAGAAAGTATAATCTGTGAGATCTTGAATTCATAACACAGCAGGGAGTTTCTCTTGAATCTGCTGGAAGCGGGCTTGCCTCTCAGTGCTTAGCATCCTACTTTTTGCTTCCCAAAGATATAAAATAGGGTAAATCCTGTTCAGTACTAAGGTATGTACTTCAAAAGAGAGGGGAAAAATTGAAGTAAGTTGGATTGTGATCTATGGAGTAAATGTGGAATAAAATGAAAATAAATAAGGGGAAACTGTTAGATGAACAGTGAAATACAACTGTAAAGGGAAAATGAATGGAGGTTACAGAGACAATATAAGTAGAGGCTCAATTCTGAGAAGCCTGAAAGGTGAGAAATAAAGAATTCATGTTTTATATAGAAAACAAGAGCTGCTAAAAATTTGTTTGAAAGGGGTGAATATGTTAGTAATAATGATAGATTACTTCATTAGGCTGCTCTACTAGCTCAGGTTGATTTTTTTTTTATTTTGCTGTATCCCACTCAATCAATCCTAGATATGAACATGCAAATATTAACATAGCTAAGAGAATGTAGAGAGGAAGAGAAATTATAAATTCTTTAGAGTCACAGATGTTTCAAGAACTCCAGGATGTTTATCACTAAAATATTAAATTAGAACTTTGAATTCACAAAGAAGAAAGCTATTATAAATGAGCTATTCCCACAGATTTTAAATACTTAGATTTTATTTGGCATTTCAATGAAGGTCTCCAAATAGAGTAGAGAAGTACCATCTCTTCCTTGGCCATACACAGTACAAATCAACCTCATTAAGGACAAGTACAAAATTTGCTCTTAAGATCCTTTCAACTTCAGTAGAGATTTAATATATAACATTTTATTGCCTCATCATGCTCATTCCATTAATGCACACAGTCACCTGATCAAAGTTAGGCTCATTCATAATTGATGCCCTGAAGACAGATGACTGAAATGCAGTAGTGTTTTACTTACTTTTTGGCCTTTAAATTTATTTAAAAAAACCCCAAAAGCTCACAAAAAACAAACCATCCAAAACATTTTCAAGTAAAAAGTAAGAGAATATGAAACTCAAAAGTGAAAATGGTGCTTTTAATAGCTGTAACACTTTCATGTGTTATTCAGGTATCACTTTTCTTTCCTGTCATGATAGTAATGTTACTTCTTCTATAGTACCTCTCTGTAGGCTTCAGGATATATGTGTAAAAGTTCTACCTTAGGGTTTCATTCAAAAAAAATAGTCGAAAATAATTTAATAGTCTGTACCTAATAAATATAAACCTGAAAGTAACAATACTTTTAGAAGGATCGTATGATCTTGAATATATGGAACAGTAACTGATAGGTTTTGTAGCAAAGACATGTAATAAATGCAATCGTAAGTTTTTTAACCTTATCTTATTTTAACACTTCATATGTCCCACTACCAGAAATTTAATTGTGAGGACAGAGCTCCCTCTGGTATTTGTATAGAAATTTCTTTGAGAGCGTTAGGACTGTCAGTTGCA